TACTTAATGCAGTCCAACACAAACGATACAAGATAACAGCACCTCCAAGGTAAAATTTAATCCTTCACATTTCTGTTTAAAAATATCTTTAATAGAACTATTTAGTCACACGTCAAAGCTACAACGTTATACAATGAACCGTTGAAGTTAGTTTATAATAACTGCTAAGGAATATCAGTATCAAACTAAACATTCTCGGTGGAGGAACAACGTAAATTTTATACTTGCAGCCAAACACCGAAAAACCCATTAATTTCAAAATTTAACAATTCTCAAAAGACAAAAAGAAAACAAAGCAAACCGTGAGGCTTCGAATCCGTATGTGTTTTGAACGTTTCTTCCCAAAAGCCTTCACCATCATCCTTCTCTTTGCCTGGAACCTAAACATACAAAGAAATTTAGGTACTTTACAGCGAAACAAATCGAAGAATTTGTGAGCTAAAAATCTAAGTCTTTTCTTAAAAGCCTTTAAAAGTGAAACATAAAAATAATCAACAGTCACTCAAACTCTTGAAAAGGAAATTTACGCTAAAGTAAACCTTCTTCCTATAGTGTTCGAACTTTAGTAAATGATGAGAGTTCAACCCAACGACAACTTCTCCATTTATGTAAACGAGTATTTGGAAAGGTTTGAAAGCAACCATCACCTGAGCACCATTTTCCAGAACAAATGTTACCATAGACGCTTCCTTTTTAAAATACTTAAAGCTAAAAATTTTTTTCATACGTAAGTTTACAGTTACAAATACGAAGCTCATAATAACAATAACTTACTCTTCCGTCTTGAGATTTGTACCATTCTGCAATACATCTAATGGTTGATATCGTGGCCTCAAACTTCCTTCAGCTTCATCAATAACAACCCGGATGGTTGAATCAGCCAACGAAACTATAATCAACCTCAATGTATTGATGCTGCTTTTCAATTCGGCGGTAATAGCCGACGAATTTTTTTTCACACTTTCTGGAATAATTTCATACTCTGGTCTTTGTTCTGTGCTCCTCTGCCTCCTGAAATAAGAGGGTTTAAATACCAAACTATTCGGAAACCTATAACTTATTCAAAATACTAACACAACAAAAAGATCCTTTTCTAAGGAAAAAATTTTAGTCTTATGCAGATCACTTTCATTTTTTCCTTTTTTGAAAGAAAGGATAGAATACAGTGCGTTTACTACTGCGAAAATAAATCACTCAAACCACAATACCAAGTAAAGATATACCCGTACCAAAACATGATGGAAATGACAACAGTTCCGATATGATGCATTTACTGGAAAGTAAAAAAGTTCAAAGCCATGTCAGTGGTTGAAATATTGTGAGTATAAGGGTAACACTACAGTAACTGAAAAGCTCACTTGCAGAATCCTGACTGGTTACAAGTTTTGAAGTTGTTGCGGTCGACGCCTAACACACATAGCACAGTAAGCGACAGTAATAGGACAGTGTGTAAAAGCATACTCTTTAACCAAGATGGCTGTCCCAACCCTAAAAAAAAAAAATAATTCGCAGATAAATATAGAAAAAGATTAAAAAATTATGCTGAAATTGTGCACCAAAAATACAGCTGACCATTAGGCAGTAAAAGTTTATGTTATAAGTGGCAAAAATTGAATTTCTACAAGAAAAACGTGTGAAATTTTTTTTTTTGGTCAAATATACTCTTTAATGGAAAATGACGGTAATATTATCTCAAATGTTAATACTTCTAATCCAGCTAAAAACATCTTGGCAAAAAGCGTGTCGTCAAATGAAAGCAAAAAAAAGAAAAAAAAAATAAATTTTACATAATAGAGGTTTTCTAAACGAAAGGTATTTATTAAAGCCATATGAAGAAATGCTACAAGCATTTCAAGTTCGTTACTCACTAAAAATATTTCTAAGATCACAAAATGCTACTAAATGTTCCGGCAAAGAAAAAAAAAAAGCATTCAAAACAAATATGTCAGTTGCCTGATATCACACAACACTTCAGACGTATATTCCAGCACAGTAACGCTCGGGCCGAAGAACAAACATAAAAAGATCAGAACAGAAGACTATTCACAGTAAATCAACGATTTAACAGAAAGACACCGCCAGTACCCGTAGATGGACACTTCGCAACTTCATCTAAAAATCAATTACCCTAATTGGCCGCATTAACCATTGCTGGTGACACACTGAAAGACTGTCTTTCACGAAACTACTTTCATGACTGGCACATCTCCAACTTTTAAATACTCACTCATAGCACTTCTTACAATCCATTTCCAGCCCTTAAGCTGCGATTGATGTTCT